TGTCCACTAATGTTACATGGCCTCCTCACACTGTTACATTATGTCCACTAATGTTACAGGGCCTCCTCACACTGTTACAGTATGTCCACTAATGTCACAGGGCCTCCTCACACTGTTACAGTATGTCCACTAATGTTACAGGGTCTCCTCACACTGTTACATTATGTCCACTAATGTTACAGGGCCTCCTCACACTGTTACAGTATGTCCACTAATGTTACAGGGCCTCCTGACACTGTTACAGTATGTCCACTAATGTTATAGGGCCTCCTCACACTGTTAATTCATCCACCAATAGGAGAGAGCATCATTCACAAGAAAAAACAGGGCTGTGACGGGTAATTTTCAGAATGTAATTTCCAGTTATATCATTAATTGACTAATACAGGGAAGTTTTAATTATTTCAGAACTTCAAATTATCCTATATTTAAAATAAAACAAAATCTAGATAGCATCAACTATTCAACAGGAATGACAACCTAAATATAAAAAGTCAAGGCCCGAACTATACACACAGCAGGAGTTCAGCAAATGGTACTTTAACTTCTCTGTGTTTTCATTCTGGGGAAACTGCCAAGTCATCGGTTCATTTCTAAGACCTGGACTCTGAGTGTACTGCCTTACCCAATAGGCAAGGATTCATCCTAGACACTGGTTAAAGGCAAGAACTCACCATTTTCTACATCATGTTGCAGGAATCTGTAGGTATACATTATCTTTTCTCAAGTCATTCAGCTCAGAGGTAACTAGGCTACTGTTATTTGCTTGTGTAGATACTTTATTAATTTGTTTTTGCTATTTTCCTAAATCAGATATTTACATTTAGCTCCATGTGACTGAGCTGGAATCAGAACTAGCATACTGTGACTTGGGAATCAGACAGGCAAAGGCACAGCGTATCAAAGGGAATCACCCCTCTGCTGACCCTTATGCACACTCTATATGCAGAATTTGTCCTATCCTGACTGTGCCTTTTAAACTGGGCAGCAGCGTCTCCTACAAGCAGTACAACGTCTGTGGCGCCTGTGTTACGGTCTGTTATACTTAGTTGTACTTTTGTGCCTCACACAGCAGAGGGATCCTTGCTGGTGGAGGCTGGTTCTGGATGAGGGGATGGATCCATGGAGGGTGAGCTCCAGAAGAGCCTCATCAACTAGACCTGCTCTAGCTTGGGGGCTAAGGAAACAGTTTATAGGACAGTGTGCCTGTTGACATTCATACACCAAGCCAAGGATGAATAGCCAAGCAAAGACAACAGTATCCTGATTCAGCTTAGACAAACTGGTGAGTATGGAAAACTTGTTGTCAGAGAAAAAGGTAAGGCCATAGGCAAGCCCTTCACCGTGTCTTCACTTTGTAAATCCAAACTTTGTAAATAATGGACCAGCGTGAGGTTTAATAATACTACCTGTTCCTACTTGTATCTCTTTACATTAATAGGGATCTTCATTGCCAGGAAGAGGCCCCGCTTATAAATAAAACAGTCACTCGAAATGCTTATGCATAAGGACTGTAATCAGCAGTCACAAACCCTTGGGAACCATCAGATAAAAACCCTTAGACTGGCCGGGCGGTGGTGGCGCACGCCTTTAATCCCAGCACTCGGGAGGCAGAGCCAGGCAGATCTCTGTGAGTTTGAGGCCAGCCTGGACTACCAAGTGAGTTCCAGGAAAGGCGCAAAGCTACACAGAGAAATCCTGTCTTGAAAAACTAAAAATTAAAAACAAAAACAAAAAAAAACCTTAAGACTGTCTGGAGGATTTACCTATGACATGGTAAATAATAAAGAACCAGAAGAGAGATTTGGGAAATATAACAGAAAATTGTTGTTGTTGTTGTTATTATTATTATTATTATTATTATTATTATTATTATTATTATTATTATTATTGTTTTTGGAGACAAGGTTTCTCTGTGCACTTTTCCTGGAACTTACTGTGTAGTCCAGGCTGGCCTCGAACTCACAGAGATCCACCTGCCTCTGCCTCAGGCATGCACCACCACTGCCTGGTGCAGAAAATTATTTTAAAATTTGTCTTTTCCTGTTCATAAATAATTTAACTAGACATTTAAAAAAAGTAAAAGCAGAATCTTCTCACTTTTTGGCTGGGGCGGTTTTCTGCAGATTCCACATTTTCAGTGTATGGTCCTCGGATGCTGTGATTAAAACAGGCTCGATGGGGTGGAAAGCAAGGGCTCGGATGCCATCAAAGTGACTTCGTAACGTAAACTTAGGGTTCCACGTCTTCCTCAAGGCATCTTTATTATTTGCTATCTATTAAAAAAAAAACATCAAGTTGGGACAGCTGATTTGCTATTAAACTATTACACTGTACAACTCTCAAAACAATGTATTTTTTAAAGCAAACAACAAACCAATTATCAAGATTAGCAATCCGTGGCAGTTTTCATTGAAGAAATAAGGAATGTATAATAAGAGAACGGTTAGTATAATTTGATCTAAAGTGCAGGCAAATAACGATCCCAAACAGATCTCACTACTGCCAGTTTCAATCCTGAATGTTCTGGAAGGCTTGGTCACCAGCCTGTGGCATTCCCAGGAGGTAGGGTCTTCAGCAGATGGAGCCTAGGCCACAGTGACATCACTGAAAGGCCTATCCTTGGGAGAAGCAGAAGCCCAGGCCTCTCCTCTCCCTGTTTCCTGAATACCATGAAGCAAGCGGCTTCTTCTGACACTAACACCTCACTACAAGTCCAACCAACATGGAGTGAAACTCAAGTGAGCCTTCCTTCCTAACAGGTTACTTAGTTCATGTTATTATGTCACAGTGACAGAAAGCTTGAATAATTATTAGAGTGTTTTCAAAATCAAGTAATTCAATTCAAACTGTAGACAGAAAATAATTTGGGTCAAAGAACTAGGTTTTTTGTTTTTGTTTTTTTTTTTCCTTTAAGCCTATGTCCTGGCTAGTTTTATGTCAACTGTATCAACAAGTTAGTTATCCGGCAAGAGCAAACCTCGATGGAGAAAATGCTTGCAGCAGACTAGCCTATGGGCAAGGCTGTGGTACATTTTCTTGATGAGTGATTGACGTGGGGGAGTCTCGCTCATTGTGGGCAATGCCACCCCTAGGCTAGTGGTCCTGGGCCTTAAGAAAGCAGACTGATTGGTATTGGCATAAAAACCGAATCAAATTGAAGACCCTGACATTAGTCCACACACCTATGAACACCTGATTTTTGACAAAGAAGTCAAAACTGTATAATGGAAAAAAGAAAACATCTTCAACAAATGGTGCTGGCATAACTGGATGTCAACATATAGAAGATTGCAAATAGATCCATATCTGTCATCACAAAACTCAAGTCTAAGTGGATCAAAGACCTCAACATAAATCCAGTTACACTGAACCTGATTCAGAGTAGAAGAGAAAGTAGAAAGTAGTCTTGAATGCATTGGCACAGGAGATCACTTCCTAAATATAACACCAGTAGCATAGACACTGAGAGAAACAATTAATAAATGGGACCTCTTGAAACTGAGAAGCTTTTGTAGGGAAAAGGACACGGTCAATAAGACAAACTGACAGCCTACAGAATAGGAAAAGATCTTCACCAGCCCCAAATCTGACGGAGGGCTGATCTCCAAAATATACAAAGAACTCAAGTAACTAGACATCAAAATACCAAACAATCCAATTAAAAAATGGGCTACAGATCTAAACAGAGACTTCTCAACAGAAGGATCTCAAATGGCTGAAAGACATTTAAGAAATTTAAGGAATTGCTCAAGATCCTTAGTTATTAGGGAAATGCAAATCAAAACAACTCTGAGATACAATCTTACACCTGTCAGAATGGCTAAGATCAAAAATACTGAAGACAGCTTATGTTGGAGAGGATGTGGAGCAAGGGGAATACTCATTCACTGTTGGTGGGAGTGCAAATTTGTACAGCCACTCTGGAAATCAGTATGGTGGTTTATCAGAAAATTGGGAACTAATCTCCCTCAAGATCCAGCTATACCACTCTTGGGCATATACCCAAGGGATGCTCAATCATATCACAAGGACACATACTCAACTATGTTCATAGCAGTATTATTCTTAACAGAACCTGGAAACAACCCAGATGCCCTTCAACTGAAGAATGGATAAAGAAAATGTGGTACATACACACAATGGTTTTACTCATTTTTTTTTTACATTATTACTCAGCTGTAAAAAACAGTAACATCATGAAATTTGCAGGCAAATGGATAGAACTAGAAATATCATCCTGAGTGAGGTAACCCAGTCTCAGAAAAAAAAAACAAACAAACAAACATGATATGTACTCATAAGTGGATACTAGATGTAAACCAAACAATAACCAGAATGTAACCTATAGCTCTAGGGAAGCTAAGAAACGAGAAGGACTCTTAAGAGGGACACATGTTTCTCCTTGGGAAGGAGAAACAAGAGATCTTGATGAGCAAACTGGGAATGTGGGGGGAGGATAAAGGGGAGGGGGAATGAGAAAATGAGGAAATGGGATGGTCGAGCTGGGGGAGGAACAGAGTGGGAGAGCAATGAAAGAGATATATTGATAGAGGGAGACATCATGGGAATAGGGAGAAACCTGGTGCTAGGGAAATTCCCAGGAATCCACAAGGATGACCCCAGATTAGAGTACTAGCAATAGTGGAGAGGGTGCCTAAACTGGCCTACCCCGGTCATCAGATTGGTGAATACCCTAACTGTCATCATAGAGCCTTCATCCAGTAACTGATGGAAGCAGATGCAGAGATCCACAACCAAGCACCAGACTGAGCTCTGGAAGTCGAAGAGAGGGAAGAGGGATTATATGAGCAAGGGGGTCAAGATCATGATGGGGAAATCTTCAGGGACAACTGAACCAACCTCATAGGAACTCACGAACTTTAGACGGACAGCTGTGGAAGCCTTCACGGGACTGGATTAGGCCCTCTGCATACAGGAGACAGTTGTGTAGCTTCGTCTGTTTGAGAGGTCCCTAGCAGAGGGATCAAGATCTATCCCTAGTACATAAGCTGTAACCATTATCTATGGTGGGACACCTTGCACAGCCTTGATGTGCAGGGTGAGGGGCTTGGTCCTGCCTCAACTGAATGTGCCAGACTTTGCTGACTCCCCATGGGAGGGAGGCATTACTGTTTTGGAGGAGGGGGAGAAAAGCTAGGGGGGAGTGGGAGGAGGGATGAGAGGGGAATCTGTGGTTGGTATGTAAAATGAATAAAACAATTTCTTAAATAAAAAAAGAAAGAGAAGAAGGGAGGGAGGGAGGGAGGGAGGGAGGGAGGGAGGAACCAGGCAAGCAGGCAGGCTGAACAAGCCAGTAAGCAGAATTCTTCCACAGCCTCTGCTTTGGTTACCTGACTTCCTTCCATGACAGGCTGTAATGTGCAACTGTGAGCAGAAATAAAACCTTTTCTAACCAAGGTGCTTTTGATCATGGTGTTTTATTTCAGCAATAGAAACCCTAACTTGTCAATTTAAAATATGATCACATTTTTTTCACATTTTTATGACTTGTAATTCTTTCTTCCCCAAGATAGAAACAAGATTTATAAACTTGAAACAGAAAACGTTAAAATGGCTGAGTTCTGTCACACACCAGAACTCAAGAGGCCTTGGAGATGGAGAATCCAAGGCCATCACTGAGCTACTCTCCTGCCTGCGTTCTCTCTTTACACATGCACTCAGAGTGTGGACATCATAGAGGGACCATGCGGTAACACAGTAAAGTATTCAGCCAATGACCAGCAAGAGCCACAGCCTGCCAACAACTCTCTCTGAGAGAGCTTGGTCTTCTCCAAGTCAAGTCTTCAACTGAGAACATAGCCAACGTCAACCTCTTCACTTCAACTACATAAAACCTGCAGCCAGTACGGCACAGACTCTGGATGCAGAGGGATTTGAAGGTGATGGCTTTTTTTCTTTGATTAAAAATAGATTTTTTTCATACAACATATTCTAATTACAGTTTCTCTCTCCCAATTCCTCCCTACCTCCCCTCCTATCTGAATTTCCACCCTTTCTCTCTCATCAGAAACCAGACGTCTAAATAATAATAAGATAAAACAAAACCAAGTGGAACAGGACAGAACAGAATACAAAGAACCAAAGGAAAAGCACAATAAATACATACAGACACTGAGACACACGTTTGCACAAACAGAAATCTGACAAAACCTGAAACTGTAATATACATTCACAAAGAATCTGCAAGGTTTAAAAAAGAATCTAATTGAGACCAAGAACCTCCAAAATGCCATTAATTCATTTTGTACTTTTTGAAAGTATAGCAATAGATTGCAGGAATGTTTAATAAAACGCAGAACTACCTTTGAAAATAAGGTGAAGAGATAACACCAATTTTCCAGAGGGGAAGAAGTGAGCTTGCATCAGAACAATGTCTGAGTCCTCAGCTACTGAATAAAGTCTCCGTGGTTAGGGAGAGAGGACAAAAGTACGCGATGGGAAATTCTGCTTCTAGCCATTGTAGACTAGGTAATTTGGACAAGCTCTGTTGTAGGGACACGTAGAAAAGAAGTCAACAGGCTGTGAGGAAAGGCCGGGCTACCCAGGGAGCCCACACTGGATAATATACTGAAGAGGCAGGCAAACGCTGCTGGGAAGTAAGACATCAACTGATCGCAGGCGCCTAACCAAAAACACTGCTCATACTTTGCAATGGAAAAGAGACTTCCTTTCCCTACCTAAAACCAAGGCGCACACACGCTATAGTGACCTACAGATCTAGACAAAGCCTCTAACTTTAATCTCCAGGTTACTTAGAAAATGTCAGCTCATTTTTACATCCGTCTTTGCAAAGTTTGAAATTAAAACTAAACCGAGACCCACACTTGTGAAAAAGTTTTTACCTCTGCCATCTTTTTCTATCAACACAGTGATGACATACAAAATACAACTACTTACATCGTAGGCCAGCGAGTCTGCCTCGTTGGCCACCGTGAGGCCTGCTAATTCTCCGAGCCCCAGTTCACTTTCGAGGGCTTCATCTGCTCCCATGATAAATGACTTCCCAGAAGAAGGAGGAAACGTCAGCGCTTCCACTGAGGGAAACAAAGCCCAGTTACACACCTAGACACTTCACAACTAGTCTCACCTCTTGCATTACATTTCTGATAAGGGACCATGTACACTCCTGTTTGCTCTATTTTTGTTTTTGGAGCCAGGCTGGCCCAGAACAAAGGCAATTCTCTTGCCTCGGCCTCTTAACTGCTAGAATTACAGGCCAGAGGGGGTATGGCCCTATCTTACATTGCTGTTAGACAATTCTGTAAACAGTGAAATCTCCTGAGCAGAAAAGTCCTAAAGACTGCTCTTTCATACATTATCCTGCTAGCAGCAGCATCTAGTTAGAAAAGTAAAACAGAAGCAAAGCTAATAATTTATTGTCCTTTCCTTTATTATTATGTAGAAAATAGTATGATTATAGTAAATTTTCTATTTGATATTTCATGCTAATTACTCAAATAATGTCTATCAATTATGAAGTCTACTAACAAGTGGTTCTTGCTATATGTTGAACACTATTGGTCTCATTCAAAATAAGACTAATCAATTCTATAATCTCGAATACTGAAGACATTTCAAAATGAAAACTATACAATGTGCCTACTTGAGAAAAATGGATACACAGTGTGAAAAGTCAGCATTATCTAGTGACGGGTGGTTAAAGGGCCCCACAGGATGCTCCACCTTGGGAACCCTCTACCTCTTGAGTGGCTAATTTTGATGTGTGAAGATTTAATGCGCTGTTCCCATTAGTACACATGCTTTATTTCATGTCAAGAGGTTTTAAAATCCATTTCAGAACTTGAATAGATGTCAACTGTGCTTTGAGATGGAGCTTTACTGTGAAATCAACTCCAACATTCTTACTTTGTAACTCTGAACACAGCACACTTCAATCTTTTCAACAAGCATCACTGAAGAAAGAGCCAATGAAAAGCAAAATGCTAAATTAAGATTTTATGAAGAAAACAATTCCAAAAAGGCACCAGAGCTTGCCTTTCCAGAGGAGGTTGCTTCACTGATTAGAAACATTTAAGATAAATTTAACAAGTCAAGGCATTTGCTAAAAAGATGTTATCTTTTAAACAAAGAATCGAGTTAATCATATCGAGTACACAGCAGACTTAAAGTTGTTTTTCTGTGCTTCAGCTAATCATGTTTAGTAATAGCTACTTGTTGAATACATTAAATAATAGTTATTTGCTTTTAAAAACAGTGGTGGTATCTGGGTGTGGTGGTGCACACCTTTAATCCCAACACTCTGGAGGCACAAGCAGATGAACCTCAAGGCCAGCCTGGTCTACATAATAAGCTCAGGTTAGCCGGGGATAAATAGTGACAAGAAGCTAGTAGTAGTAACAGAAACTCAAAATCTTTGTCAGAAAAAAGAAAATCACTATCAGCGTAAAACAGAATATGAATTAAACTATTATCAAACCACAAACAAACAAGAATGGCATTAATAAAAATGGGCTTCACCTAGAATGCAGCGTATCATCTGGAGGGTTCAAAAAACCCACGTGTTTGCGGAGTGAAAGTGTCCAAACAGTAATTTTCAGGCCAAAATTTCAAATAATTCATGTGTGCCTAGGAGACTAGGCATTCAGCAGGTATCTTGTTTGTCCTGTTTTTTCATTTCTAACATTTTCATACAAATGACCTCCTCCCTGAAACCTAAGGCTCTGGGGATGGACCATGGTGTGGATTAGTACTAACTAATTAATACTCTAGGAAGGTCATTAGTACTGACTAATTAATACTCTAGGAAGGTCTAGTCAGCAGTCAGAAGAGAAAGCAACAGGGACATCATGTCTCTAAGTGGGTGGGCATCTTGCTCTCATTGGCCTCATAAGTTAAGAAACAGGTTACAATGGTGCCCTTAATGAGCTTTTAGAAAACTAACTGGAATTTCAAATGCTATACCTAGCAGGGAAGCTTTTCCTGAAAGCTGGGTGAAGAATCTTTAGTAACAGACAATTAAATATGCAAGCAAATACTCTCTCCTCCACTCACTCCTCTACCCTAGTGCAGGGGACAGAACTGAGCTCTGTGGGACAGGTGGATGCTCTATCACAAAGTGGCGTCTCCAACCCTGAATTTTTTTTGTATTTGTATGCCATAGAATTGCACTGTGAAAAACTAGAAACAACCAAAAAATTCAAGAGAAAGAATTTTACATCTCTCCAGCCCAAGAATTTTATTTCAAATCTAAAGTATAATATACAGCATTAAAGCTGAGCTTGAAAATTATCAATATATGTTTTGGGGTCTTTTTTTTGTTTTGTTTTATTTTGTTTTTCAAGACAGGGTTTTTCTTGTGTAGCTTTGGAGCCTTCCCTGGAACTCACTCTGTAGACCAGACTGGCCTCGAACTCACAGAGATCCACCTGCCTCTGTCTCCCGAGTGCTGGGATTAAAGGCTGTGCACCACCACCACCCAGCTAATATATGATTTTATATTAAACATAAAACAAAATAGAACCACTCTACATGATGGCTGTAACTATGTTAAAAACCATACAAAGTGGATAAGGTCTTCTAGAGGGAACAGGAAACACAGGAAGCAGAAAATATGAACACAGACAGCTTTCCCTTCATTCTGTTGTTGCTTTGAGACAGGGTCTCACTATGCAGCACTTGGCTGGTCTGGAACTTGCTCTGTAGACCAGGCTGGCCTCAAACTCTCAGAGAACTGGCTTCCTCTGCCTCTGAGTGCTAGGATTAAAGCATGTGTCACCATGTCCAGTGTCCCTTCACTTTTTAAATCAATAACAAATTAAGTATGTTGTCTTTCAAAGTGAACATTTAGTACCAATTTTTAGACTCAATTTTCTCAATGTTGGAATGGAGTAAGCCTGTTATTAGTTTGTTCAGTCAATGGAGCTAGGCTACATATATTCTAAACTGGAAACGGAAGAGCTGGTTCTGGAGTCAAGCCCCCGACTTAAGAAAGTGGCCATGTGCAGAGTGAGTGTGAAGGCGCCCACCCCAGCCACAGGTCCAGGTGCTCACCTTCATCTGCCCTACTGATCTCCTGTTCAGGAAGCCTGGAGCTGCTGGGTCTGGAAGGGGAGCCAACAGAGGGCTGCAGTGAGGGAAGCTCATCAACATCTCTCAAATTAGCAAGCATGTCCTGTAGTTTTGACCTATTGGGCCCTAGCCAAAAAGGGGGAGGGGGCAGAGGAGAAAGAAAGAGGAAACAGAATCACTCATTTCATAAAAACTGTACAATAAACTTTTTCACATCTGCCAACATCTACCTTTCAAACACCCTACTAGATCAATGAGGAGCAGTTATTTTCAAAGTTTTCAAATTTTAAGAGTTGACTATTTCTGGAAAAGTTATATTTAAATATATATTTTTGTAAATTAAATTAATGGGAGCACTACATGAAAAGAATGTCAAGTCCAGTATGTATCATTAAAAGTCACACTTATCTATAAGAAAGCAACAACTACTGGTCTAAATGAAGACAGACAATCAGAGATCATGAACCAAATGTGAACTCCAGTAAACAATAGACAGACCCCTGCGGCTTAGTTACATTCACTGCTACATCCTGCAATGGAACCCACGTGAAGTCTCATGCCCTACTGGTTACTTACCTGGGCTTTGGTTCTTCATTCTCCCACATCCCTGTTTTGACTGTTTTATATAGGATAGAGGCTGAAACAGATCTTCGGTAGTTTTTCCTGTTACAAGTTTAATTAAGAATGGGAAAATCTTACCCATAGTCCGTTATGGTATTTCCTATACCAGCAAAGAATACAACTATTTCTAAGCAATTTTCAGTAATACCTAGAAAAATTTAAGATAGTATGACTGGAGTACACAATTTGACTGGATATACTGACACTAGACCCATTAAAAACAACCAGTTTACAGTGGGTAATAGCTCAATTAAAAAGACTATTTTGGTAGCTTATAAATAAATGTTCTGTATACCAATTCAAAGCTTTACTTCCTTTTTCTCTTTATCGCAGATCTTCACTTGTCCTCATACAACTGTTTTAACAAAATAACAAGTGAAAACAGTACCTAATGTGCTGACCTTGGACTACACTCCTCATCTTCAGTGCAAGGCATTTCATTTCTCCCCAGAGTTAACACTTCTCCACTTAAAAAGCCCATGTGCTCTACATTTCAGTCCGCATCTCAATCCCCAAGTGCAGGGAATCCAACTGCTTCTGTTCATAGGAAGGCTATTCCAGTCAAATGGTGCAGTTTTAGATCTGAAGGGCTAAATTCTAACCACAACGTAAGAGTAGATGAGTTCTATACAAATCATGGCTACCTTTCCAATCAAGAGATCTTTACATTCCAAGATACTCATTTTATAACATAATGACCCAAAGAAATATATTGACATTGATTTAATCTGGAAATAATCTCTTAATGCATGATATACAAATTTTCCTCAACATTTTAGTTTAACTGACTTGGACTGGTTCTAAAAGCCAGAGCAATTCATGTCTCAATATATTTTTTAAGTTTAAAGTTTTTAGCAGATTTGAATAGAGGGATCAAACAGTTTTGTTTTAATGTTGATCTTTCTCATTCCGATTTTATCTATTTTGAGATAACACTAAATGATCTCATCTCTCAGTAATTATTAAAATTGTGCTAACATCAATAATGGACATAGACTTTTCAATGAATTAAAAATTCTAAAATTTTAAATAAATATTTAATTGTTTTAATGAAAACTACCAGATTGTAAAAAAAAAAAAAAAAAAAAAAAAAAGGTCTGCCAGGAATGACTGGTCTTGATATGTTTTTACCATAATTAAAAAGCAATGAAGGAATACAGCATTTCCTTCTAGTCTTTCACAACTTAGAAATCCGTTTCTCACTAAATTTAGATTTTGATCTCATTTTGTAGAAAATAGATGTACTATTTTCACATCTCGAAGGATGAAATTCCTATTGCCATGAAAGGGAAAAGCCACGTTTATCACATCAATAAGTAGAAGCACAAGAAGGAAGTTTAATCTTACTCTCTGTGAAGATGCTTTGTTTTGTTTTTTTGAGGTCTCATGTATCCTGGGATGTTCTCTAACTCCTTACATAGCTAATAGGACCTTGAGCTCCTGGTCCTCCTGTCTCTACCGCCATAGTGCTGGGATGACGGATGTGTGTCGCCACACCCAGTTTCCGGAGTTTCAGCGATGAGTCCAAGGCTTTGTGCATGCATTCTAAAGAACCACTAAAACTGAGCTATATCCCAGCCCCTAAAAAGCTGTTGAATATTGTTTATCAAGGTCTTGACAGGATTTATTTTTCTACTTTTCTACTTACATATTTAACTAGATCTATTGATAAGCTTTTCATTTGCATGAAGAGTTATATGATCCACAGGGCTATAAATTTAATTTTGGCTTCTGTTTCTGATGTTACATACATTTTATTGAAAAGAGAAGAAAAGGTAACTGGTGATACTGCTATTAATTAAGCTGGCCAAAACATTTACATTAGAAAACAGACCCATTTCAATTATGTTTGACAATTACATTATATGCCCTGTACAGCATATAGAAATGAGGGCAAATGAATTTCATGGTGTGAACACACAGACTGTTCAGGGGTAGAAATTAGCGTCTTTTTGTCTCAAGATCTGAAAGTATAAGCAGTAACTTGGGTGGACTGAGGGCACATCGAGTTTAAATAAGATTTATAAACTGTCACTGGAAATATACATCCTTGTGACTGAGCACAGACCTTCCAAAGCCAACGCATCCCTATGTTCACATGCATAGGCCGACATTCACACGAGGTTTACATTTCTGTTAAAATTCCAGATTCATATCCAATTTTTGTTTAATTCACCGTCACTACCACTTAATTTCAACCCCTGAGAGATGGCGCAAAGGACAGCGGTTGGGAGCAGAAATGAAGAGTAAGTAGTTTGAGGAGAACATGGAGGAAAAGCCTGGGGAGATGTGGAGATGCGGAGTCTGTGGTTTAGAGACACAGTGTTTCCACTTACTCTTCACCCCCTTCTTTCCCTTTCTCTCCTTTTTGTACTGCTCCTTCAGTTTGGTAATTACTCCCTGGTCCACATTCCAGGCTTCGGTCACGAGACACTGATCTTCCTTTTCTAAACAGAGTGAGACAAACAGTCTTTCTTCAATCAAATATCCAACACTCTAAATCAATGTCTGAAAAGACACCATGATGTTCTTCATAATATCACTCACCAAAAAAAAAAAAAAAAGCCATTTTTATACTCAGATACATGACATATAAAATGTAACAACAAAGGTCAATTCGATTTCCTAATTGACAAAACATTTCCTTTGAAAAAGACAGAAAAAATAAATTTCATTAAGTCCAAGCATGTTATAATCATTTTCAATGTATTTCATATCCTATGTATACAGTGATAGAAGATTATTACTAAAAGACTACACAAAATCATCTTCAATGGTCTTTTCAAGAGTTTTAGACAGGCCACTCCGGCCAGGGAAGCAGACGAGCCATCATCGGAGAAGCCTCCTGCAGCAGCTGGGAACAAATACAGAGACCCACAGCCAGACACTATGCAGACAGTGAGAAACCTCAGAACACTCAGCCCTAAATGGGAGGTCTCCATCAAATGCCTCCCCTCAAAGATGACCAGGGAACCCTGCGGAAGAGAAGGCAGTGTAAGAGCCAGAGGGGATGGAGGACACCAAGAAAACAAGACCTTCTAAACCAGCAGGACCAAAGCTCATGAACTTACAGAGGCTGAAAGGCAAGCATGGGGCCCGTACCGCACGGGTCTCCATCTGGTCCTCTGCATATATGTTATGGCTTCCAGTTTAGAGTTTCGATGGGACTCCTGAGAATGTGAACAGTCATTATGCCTTCTTTTGGGCTCTTTTCCTTCTGTCTGTTTGTCTTGTTCAACTCAGATGTGTTAATTTTGTTTTATGTTATTATTAAGATATTAAATAAATCTTTTTAAAAAAAATTGTCAAAAGCAGAAGGAAGGAAGGAGGGAGGGAGGGAGGGAGGGAGGGAGGGAGGAAAAAGGAGGTTTGTGCTTTGGGTACGTGCTACTGATTTTATGAACAATGCAAGATCCACCAGTGAGCATCAGAGGAGCAAGATTTTCACCTACAAGACCCAGTACATTGAGTACTTGATCAGTCTATTTTTTGAAATAACACTGGAATTACCTGAAATAAATCAGAATAAACAGAAATCTATTTTTAAAGCAACTGAAGTTTCAATCTAATTCAGAAAAGTGTCTGTTGGATCTCTGATATAACATCTCTCCCGTAGTAGGAATAGTCTATGTTTCCAGAAGGAATAACCAATTTTAAAAATGCTAATGGGGCGGGGGTGGGGGGGGTGGGGAGCTGGAGAGATGGCACAGTGGTCAAGAGCACTGGCTGCTTTTCCAGAGGTCCTGAGTTCAATTCCCAGCAGCTCACAAATCATCTCTAGTGGGATCTGATGCCCTCTTCTGACATAAAGGCATGCATGCACATAGAGCACTCATATACATAAAATAAATAAATCTTTTTAAAAATGCTAATTTTTACCAAGTCTTTCAAAAAATTTATTTATTTATTTATTTATTTATTTATTTATTTATTTATTTATTTATTTATTTATTTATTACTTTGTGTATGTGTGCTCCCCATCCCAAGAGCCATAGCACACATGTGGAGGAGGTCAGGAGTAGGTTCCAAGGATCAACCTCAGGCTGCCAGGTTTGGCAGCAAGCACTTTTACTTGCAAAGCCAACCTGGTAGTCTTAAAGGCATAATAATAAACTGGCTGCTCTTAAATACTGGAATAAGTTTATCTTTTAGAGAAAAAACACCAGCCTTCTTATGGTTTCGAGGGATTCATAATGACAGCGCTCGGCTGTCCTGGAACTCGCTGTACGCCCCAGGCTGGCGTGGACCCACAGAAATCCACCTGCTTGTGCCCCCAAGTTCTTGGGTTAAAGTTGTGCACCACCATGCCTGGCAATTACACAATTCTTTAAAAAAAGGAGGAGGAGGAGAAGGAGAAGGAGGAGGAGAAGAGCTCGAGGCCAGGGGCTGGAGCAATGGCTCAGGGGGGTTAAGAGCACTCACTGCTCTTTTGGAGGACCCGAGCTTTGAGTGTAAGCACCACAGGGGTAAATCATAACTATCTGTAACTCCAGTTCCAAGGGATCTCACCTCCTCGGACACCAGACACGCACATGGTACACAGACATACATGTAGGCAAAACATTCATACAGATAAAATGAAATAAATCTAAAGACAAAAATTTAGATGAGATTCCAGGCCAAACTCCTGGCAAACAGATCTCCTGTCGTCTGCGAGTTTCTTCTACCCCCTCCCACTCACTAACAGATCTGGCACATGATCACTGAATTAAAACGTCCCGGTGTACGGCAAGTAACTCTGGGCTGCAGCTCTCTGGCCAGAGATTTATACAAGGGAGAATTCAAGTGCCTGCAGAAAAGCCAGTACCAAGTGTGCCTGCAACAGGGCTAGCAATGGAAGACCTGGACTCTCTCAGACCCCACCATAGCATAGGGCTATGCAAGCCCAACTCCTGCACTTGGGAAGTTGTTACCTAAAATACCTAAGCCACAAGAAATAAGTGCAGGAGCAGAGGGCAGAGGAGAGACTTTCTGCATTTTCTCCTTGATTTTCAAAAAAAATGTCTTCAGATACCTGTTGTGTTCCTTATTGTAGTTATCCGAAATAATACTAGATTTTGCTTTTAAAAAAGAGCAAAAAGTGGTGGGGGGGTGAGGGGACAGACGGACCCAGTGACAGGACAGCTTCAGTTCCTGACAATGCCCTGAAGGTAGATCTGAAAAGTAACTAGACAAGTAGAAAATTTACACGATGTAATGAAATATAAAGGCTATTTAAAAATCTAATAAATTATCACTGCTAACATTACTGCATGAGAATTGTAGTATTTACTGGTTCTGGGGCAAAACCCTGCCAACAAGCTCTAAAAAGCACTTTTCATTGAGTCCAGAGGACTGAGAAGACAGCAGGATCCAAACGCATAACAGCTCCCTCCTCTCACAGATTTCAACGAAAATAAAAAGTAGATCTCACACTAGTGACTTGCTTAGCACCCCAACAGGAGTATCCACAAATACCTCTAACATGGCAGTGGGCTTTGATTAGGTGGTGGGGGTGTGTGGTTTATCCTGAACAGAAAAAAGAACTGGTCAGAGCATCTGCCTCTTCCAGACTGTGTATTGGGATACACATGGTGACAGACCTGTGTACTGAGATACACAGTGACAGACCTATGTACTGGGATACACACAGTGTACAGACCTGTGTACTGAGATACACAGTGTACACACCTGTGTACTGAGATACACACAGTGTACAGACCTGTGTACTAAGACATACAGTGTATAGACCTATGTATGGGGACACACAGTGTACAGACCTGTGTACTAAGATATACAGTGTACAGACCTATGTATGGGGACACACAGTGTACAGAGACCTGTGTACTGGGATACACACATTGTACAGATCTGTACTGGGATACACACAGTATACAGACCTGTGTACTGAGATACACAGTGTACAGAGAAATATTTTTCCCCTTTAAAGTGACTGTAAGGAGTTTTCATTGTACAGAGTTCCAACAGAAAAAAAGCTAGAAGACAGGGATTTTATTATTAAAAAAATATTAGGAAACCTGTTCCCTGAACTTACCCAAAAGAGCCTTTCCAGTCACTATGAATGTCAAACAAGTGTGAAGAAAGAAGATTTTTAATGTAAGTTAAAGAGAAAAATACATCTTATTTTTTTCCTTTTTAGAATTATTTCATTTCTTTTCTTCAGAGAACAAGTATTTTTTAAAAATTAGGGCTCAAATTAGTATTTCTAATGTTTGTAGCTGAAAGTGTGAAATAAGATTTTGCTGGACGTAAGTAATACCATGTTGTAGAATTAGTCTGGGTTCCAGCTCTTGAATCTACTGGATTAACACTTAAAGTAGCTGCCTGAACAAAAACCAGTGAAAAGCTCATCATGTGGGACATCTACATCTAAATGGCACTCAACGATTCCATAAAATAGTGTTTGTGTCATGTTTATAGAAACCTTGATCATTATGGACAAAATATTAAGGAAGTATTTCAAACAAAGAAATCAATGGTTCATCTTTCACGAACACTAAGGAAGCTTTTTCAGAGGTACACTTAAAACAATCTTACAACTGACATGACATTCTCTCCATAAACACTTGAGCAAATACTAGGCAGCTCCCTTCTTTTTCTTTCTCTCTTTTACGCACATATACACAAACCTGACAAACTGATCACTTTTGAAGGATTTATCACAATTCTTTCAAGTACTACAATAATCTATCACAGTTCTCCCCAAATATTTGTGTTAATGCTCACTAGAAGTTTTAGATATTTAGAGAGATTTAAAGCATTCCGAACAAAACCCCCAAAACTGTGCCTACATAATCTATAAAAACCTGAAAAAGCATAGAAACGATAATTTTTTAATATAATTTGTTTTACGTAGAAGACGTAAGACATAAGACAACCTCTATTACATTCTCATACTCAAGTTTCGCCCAAAATCTAGACCAGCGGGTTCTACTTGTCTGAGCAGAAAGCAAAATAGCCTGTGTTTTAATTCAAATTCTCTTCATGCTGTCTTTCTTACACATGAGGAGGAGGAGGAGGAGGAGGAGGAGGAGGAAGTAGTTATACACAATCACTGACGTGTGACGTTTCCGAGTCGAAGTGCTGCCCTCCTGGTGACAACACACTAACTCTGCACGCCCTCGGCCCTCCCTCCGGCCGGCTCCAGGACACTCCTTACCCCAGTCGGTCCCGTCGCCCGCACTCCTGGATTCACTGTCGCCTTCCTCTGAGGCGGCGAGGAAGTCAAACTCCTTCAGAGCTTCCTTTGTGTCGCGATCTTCACTGGTATCAGGCAATGCTTTCTTCCGAACAATCTAACAAAGGGAGGGACACAGGTCAAACTAAATATTAGTAATAGTATGCTTTTACAAAAAGGAGACAGTATCCCCTTATAACTGAGCAAGCAAAGCAACTGTTTTCTTCAGTATGTATCTGCTGTATTAAAAAACTGTAATACTGCAGGAGGGGGGAGAACAAGGGAATTAAATTAAATTATAAAATAAAATTTAAAAAATTTTTTCACTTCAAATGGAAAAAAAACTATAATACTTAACTCAGTGAAAAAACACATTGTATTTTTTAAAAACAAATATTGTACATCTTAAAGCAGTAATTTAAACTTTGTTCAAAGGTATGATAGCTTAAACTAAGATAGATAGATAGATAGATAGATAGATAGATAGATAGATAGATAGATAGATAGATAGATAGATAGATAGATATAGTCTCAATGGATCAGTAAAATTTGTACTTAAGTTACACAGATTACACTCATGTTATGAGAGCAATTAACTCTAACATTCCTTAGATACAGTCTGTGAAGCCTTCAGACATTCTAATTTAACCCAGACAGGACACATTCCTGGAACTGTGAAATGTTTCCAGAATATAGATGAGGTAACTACAACGTGCCCTCACAAAACCCATGTCACAACTACAAACTCAGAAATGAATGTCTTAGGGACCATAAAAACACTGTAGGGTTCCTATAGTCTTTCTACTATCCTCAACTTCTCTCACAGCTCTATTTTATTTCTCATCTTACTATGTAGCCCTGGCTAGCCTTGAAACTGAGCTGTTCTTGACTCCAGAACAATGGGATGACAGTCAAGTACCAAGCTCCCAGCTCAAAAGATCTTCATAGATTCAGTATCTCTCCCCCTAAAACACTGATAATGCAGAAGGAGATAACTCAGACTTAATACAGAATTGTAATGATTCACTTTTACATATTTAAAAATATTCCTGGCACCACAGATCCAGTAGTTTTCAAAGGTAAACCTACTAGTGAGTGATGAACCCAACAGCCTGTGCTCTGTGCCAATCTTCATTGTCTTTGTTTACAGAGAACTCAACAGGAAAAATCATGAATTCTTTAATGAGGTTAATTCTCTGTTTAGCGTTATTACCTAAACATTACTCTAAAACCAAGAATATTTTCATGCTTACAGTACTTCTTCTCAACCTAGCATCTAGCAAACCCATTAAACACAAAAATAAACAACAACAACAACAACAAAACCCGTCAGACAACCCAGCAGGTTCTGAGCAGAGAGCCCATAGTGGTCCCGATAACTTGTTCTAGTTTTGACTGAACAGCAACACTCGGGTATAAAAATGTCCCTGAAGAGTGGCACCAGAACTGGAGAGATGGCTCAGCAGTTAAGAGCACTGGCTGCTCTTCCAGAGGGCCTGAGTTCAAGTCCCAGCACCCACCTGATGGCTCATGACTGTCTGTAACTCCAGATCTAGGGGATCCAATGCTCTCTTGTGGCCTCCATGGGCATGGAGCACACAGGGCGCTCAGACAAACAGGCAAGCCATCCACACACATAAAATAAACACCATTCAACAACAACAACAACAACAACAACAGGAGTGGCACAACAGGCTACCCTACCCTCACAACTCCACACATAAATGCACCAGCTACTCCTAGCAGCTTGTGTCTCTCTGACTCTTAGGAAAGCAGCTTTCTTCAGAGAGGCCATCACTGGCGTCAAGACGAAGAGTCCTTGTTCTCACTGCCTAACCAAAGGACAGGGAAAATCCAGAAATAGTACCTGGAACCTCAGAGATCTTAATGTCTTAGAATTGGGGCTTTAGTTATTACTAAAACATGGTATTAAGTCACAAAAGCAACTCCTAGGACAAACATGCTTCTAGGTAACCTTAAACAAAATGAGATAGGCACCAAGTCTATCATCATCATTACAGATCATTTTAAATAAACAAACCAAAGTCCTGTGTTTTCTTATGTTTAGGTATCAATAAACAAACAAAAAACAAAAAACCCAGGAACTGTGGCTGGCAAAGGAATATATGAACAGTAAATAGGAAGGGGTAAAATCTGTAATAGTAATACTTTCCTCCCCTGCAGTGGAGACTATTACAGAAAACCACAACCGTACACAACACAGAGATCAACAGATCAAGGGGAATCCAGCGCCAATGGATACATCTACATCCCAGCTCCTGCATCTATGGCGGCTGGGGTGGAGCCTGTAGGAGAGAGAGTATTAGAAGTCCACTGTGAAGCAAGGGAAACTCTGTCCTAGACATGGCTGCAAACAGGACAAGAACAATAGCAACGCAAAGGACATGTTAACATGAAATTTCACCCAGTTCCATCCCTAGATCAAGACCTAGAAGCAACTGTACCTGCTGGGGGAAGGAGAATTGACCCCTCCCATGGATGTGCCCCCTTACTGTTGTTCAGTGCAGAGCGGTCAGCTCTGAAACCATACACACACAAACAACCACAGACTCAGCAAGCTGTGTCTACAGAATATTGTGTCTACATATACTGAGCATACACACATACACATGTAACAATAACAGTTAAAGAAAAAGAGCCCATTAACTTAAGAGTGCAGAGAGGACATGGGAGGGTTTCGAGGATGGGTAGCTGGGGCGGTAGTGGAGGAAAGAAAGGGAAGGGGAAAGTGATAACATTTTATTGCAATTAAAAACATAAAAAAGGATTAAAAAAAGAAGTATGAGTTATAGGTTAGATTGAGTTTCAAGCAGGTTAGAAAAAAGGACAACTTTGAAAGTCACTAGAATCCTAGTGACTAGTACGAAAGGAATCGGTATTCCCCAATTACTAACACAGCACCTCACGGTTCTTAATTCCACTGTTGTTTCCTCCTAAGTTCTTGAATAGGGCAAATGTTCCTGCAGAAATTACCCCTTACACAGAAAGAGATACCACTTTAATGTGTGTATGATTTCAGGACCCTAACTATTCTCAGGCGATGAGGATGATATGCTGATGATGTGGTAAGGGGAGAGGGCGAACAAAAGATGGAAGGTTCTAGACAGCAACACAGGAACAAGCAAAGCCTGAAGTCAAGCAGAGAGAAAGAAGAGGGTGTGGCCAGAGACACCGTGCACACAACAGCCTAACCGCAGCCTAACTGCAGCCAACAGCTGCACCCTCCCAGCTTAAATTATTAAACTTTTTTATTTTAAAAAAAAAAAAACAAAAACAGAGTCTTTCTGTGTAGTCTTGGCTGTCCTAGAGTTCACTGTGTAGAACAAGATGGCCAAGAACTCACAGAGATCTGCTTGCCTCTGTCTCCCAAGTGCTGGGATTAAAGGTGTGCATCACCATGCCTCACCTTAAAACAATGTTTTTAAAAACCTATTTGCTCTATGAGCATTTTAAAAGGACAAATTTCACTGTACAGAATGTGATTCATTTTCCAAATCATGCTTACCATTCTATACAGTAAATGCCTTTAAAAATCCTTTTGGCATGTATCTATCAGGCTATAGCTAATTTGAAAATTAATGTAACATGATGTAAAACTTAATAAAACTGTTAAGAAAAATACCCAGTCATTTAAATACTTTTTTCTTCTTGGGCTGAGGTGTTGCATTTGTCTAGTAAACACAAGACCCTGGGTTCAATGCCTAGATGGGGTGAAGATGAGGGAGAAAAGCTGACTGAACCCAGTATCTAAATGGGTAAAGGGTAAATCTGTTCCCAGCAGAGGTACCTTCACGCACACTCACAATATCCTATGGTCTGTACTAACTGGAATGCTATCAGTATTTATGAATCTTATTACAGAAAAAGAAGTTAAATGGCTAGGAACTAGGAAAGCAATATTTAAATTGATATAATTACCAACAACAAAGAAACTTATAACATGAGTTATTTGCTACTAGGCTATGAATAAAATATTTTGATAAGAAAATGATATCTCAAAGCAATCATCACACCAAAAACTGTAAGAAGCCATACACTTTGAGATAATTAGGCCAGTACATACTATTATAATTTGTTTTCTGAAGGAAACTCTGAGTGACTACTTAATATTAAACATATCTACGACAGGGATAGGATCCGCAGTGTAAATGATCAGTGCTGAGAGAAAGTGCACACACTTGTCTAACCAGAGTGAAAGGAGAAAGGAGAAAGGAGAAAGGAAAGAAGAAAGGAAGAGGGAAGAGAGCAGAGAAAGAAGCAGCAGCAGCCTCCAGCTACTTCTTCTTGTAGGAAATGTATGGGAAAGTCAATCAACTTAGAACACAGACTGAAGAAAACCACTGACGAAAGTGACGGGGGAGTTCTGAGGCTGTAGACACGGTCTGTTACAGCAGCTCCCCCAAGACAGACAAAAACACAAGCTTCAGAGCTGCTGCTAGCTGCCATGAGGCACTGCCGTCCGTCCGTCCGTCCGTCCGTCAGTCCTCCTGTCGTGATTATCAACACCAGGGCAATGTTGCAACACGCAGCGTTCAGCATGGAGATGCTGCCCTGTTTAGTGAGTTAACAGAAAGTCTGAGCGTTCTATGGGAAAGACTCTATACTAAAAATATTACTGAAATTAAAGTCAGTAATAAAAACGTTCTACTTGCTCCACATTCATAAAAAACAATTTAAGGGTTCAAGATTTAAAGGATGGGTTTTTTTTTTAAATATGCATTATGGCACCTAAAAAAGTTGAAATGAGTTCTCTAACTCACTGTTGAAGTATCAATGACACTTTTCTCTCTTCCATCAATGTCCTCGTCCTCATCTTCATCACTGAAATCTGCAGCTGCATTTTCAAGGAATTTGAAATTGTCCAGCACGGAGGCAGAATCCGTTAAGTCAGATTTTCTGGTTTAAAACACATACAACCGTAATTAGCTAATCTTTCAAAACGTCCCCATAAAAACGAATGGCTGATAGGTTTCAGTAATTTATGTTTCTATTATACATGATCCCCTAACTAGATTGCGATCTACACTGACTCCCATCTATTGCAGTTCTGTGGATTAACTGAGAAAGACGGGCAAGAAGTGTCCGAGCACTTCGGTCCCATCTGTTTTGAAGACCAGCTCTAACACACAGCCCCTTCTGAACCGGCACAGACTGACCTCCAGGTTAGCCTTAATGTGCTGCTTTAAAAATACAGACATCATTTTCAAGTAGCTCCGCCTCCATCGTTCTGTTGATTCTCCTCCGCAACCCTACTTTGACCTCTCGAGTAAGTCCCCGTAACTACATAACAAACCTACTGACGTAAAAGGGAAAATACGACTGTTCATGCGCGCACATGTGGTACATCTCCAAAGAGAACGGCTACATTTTAAAATGGCACAATGGCACTTGTTTACAACATTTTTATTTTGAACCATTAGTTCTATAGTTTTATGTTTCAAATAACAAGAACTGTTTCCCAAAGAAATTTATAGAATTCAATCAACCATTCTTTTAGCCTAAATAGGAATTAAATAAAACAAAGTCAACATAGACTTAGACATTCACAGAATCTTTGAAGTTTTTTTATTCAGTGAAGATTTATGAGAAATTTTTCTAATAAAGAGTAACCTCTATTGAACTATTTATGCTCATTTAAGTAAAACTATGTGTATGTCTATGATCTGTGGTCTGAAACAAAAATCAAATAGTTCAAATAACTTTTGAATTTTCACAATTTATTAATTCAAAATATATGTGTATGTAAGTGTATATACATATATACATATATATATAATAGATATTTTATATCAAAGGAAAGATAAGGAACAAGATTATGCTATAAATGAAATGACTAAGAAAAGATTTACTTTCTGATTTCTGGTTCATCAATAAACATTCTTACAGATTTGTATTTAATTTCAACATCTTTTATGAGATTCTAACAGTAGATAACAGAGCTTTAAGATACTAAAATCTGTTAAATACCTCAATTTAAAGCAAATAAAAATACCAAACATAAAAATTATGTTCCTGAATTAAAATAATTATAAAGGTTTCTAACTAAACTAAACTTTTAAATTATAATATTCAATTAACCAAAATTAAATTATGACTAAGTCACCATCTAAAAGTTCAATGCCAAGTTATAGCTAAAACCACTTCCAGTCAAATACTCACCCAATCATTGCCGCCTCTTTAACTTCAGCCTCTGTGCCATTTATAACCGAGTCCTGGTTCTTGTCGTCCTCCCTGTCAGTGACGTCACTTGAAAAGCCCAACAATGCTCGCACTCTTTTGGATTTCACGTCTAGAATGGTATCTGTGTAGCCGACCTCCTGGAGATACCTGCACAAAGACCACCCTTACAATTCAGTCACACAGGAATTAGCATTGTAAAATTTAAAGCGTAAATAAAAGTATTTCTTCAAACTCACTGACTACATAGGGCTTAACAGAACAGTACTATGTCAGTAAGACTTTTAATAATATTCCAGCTGCAGATGGAGCTGTCTCTTGCAGTACCAGCCTCTACAGTCACTGAGGAAAACCAAAGAACTATACAATAACCCTATTCATTTATCCGAAGAAGAAACTGTTCTTCAGTGTATTGCAGAGCACACTTTTTTCTTCAGGAAGAATGGAACAATCTCCTCCCAAACTCTACCATTCCTACTTTACAACTTTTGCTCCACTTGTTTTTAACATTTCTTATGTCAAGTGTCATTAACTGAAACCTGGGGAGAATATTTCTGGTCTAAATGGTTTCTTTCCATGACATAGAAAAAGATAATACTTTTCATAACTGTCACTTGTGGAAGAGACGTTTCTGTCCTGAGAAATTCTAAAACAAAATAGACAATTAAATTGTGGGACATGGGGTATACAGACTCATGTGAATATGTGTAGTTCTAGGGAGTCAGAGGCACAGAAAAAAAGAGCACAGAGTATGCGGTTACATGTGGGTCTTAAGTCCATTTCTGCCACTTCCGTGACAAGCAGCCTTAGTTTTCTCAACCCATTTCTATGCTCATCAAGAAGCCCAAATACCACCCATGATCTATACAAAAGCTCTCTACACCTAAGAGCCCCAATGCTAACTGCTTATTAATAATAATGTGTTTTAAAAGACCAAAAGTGGCAGTGGTGGGACCAGAACAAAGGAAATGACATCGATATCACGACATAATGATGACACATCATTTATTTATATAGTAACTGAGCATTCTACCGAAGGAAAGCTGAAAGCCAAGGTTGACAAGACAGCTAGTTTAAATTCAGCTTATTTCAGGCTTTCATTTTTATAGCTACTACAGCTAAAAGACACCTCACAAAGCTATGTGATCAATATGTCTTATTAAATCAAGTTGCTCACTTTTCAGTCCCTTTTAGTATCTTCAGAAAAGCCTTGATTTAAATTTTTGAAATAATAAATTCCTACTTATTGAATTTAATCAGATGTTTTTGAAAACTACTATAAGAAAGTAAAATGTAGTACTTAAAGAATTTCAGGTTTATTTATGTGTATGAATGTTTTGCATGCATGCAGGCAGGCATGCATGTATGCATACCACATGAGTGCCTGGTGTCTGCAGTAGTCAGAACAGTGCCTCGGATCCCCTGGAACTGCAGTTACGAATGGTGGTGAGTCACCATGTGGGTTCTGGGAACCAAACCCAGGGCCTCTGAGAAAGCAGACAGCGCTTGAAACCACTGGGCCATCTCCATCCCATTTTTCTATGTTGAGTGATTAATATTTGATATGTACCTTACTTTAGCAACAAAACTAAATCACAAACTTCTGCTTCAAAACTGCTTGGCCACTGCTTGGCCACAGACGTATCATTAAATAGTGCACAGCTTACGGATAAAATGTCACCTTTTTGAGAAGTAGGTAATGAATCTCTTCAACTTGTGAAAATTTCTTAATTTACTATGAAACCACTTCTTATGAACAAAGGCTAATCATCACTTTAAAAATCATTACTATTTTATAAGCAGGGACAAGGATGGGGATGTACCCCTTTAATCCCAGCAGAGAAGGTAGATACCTATGAGTTCAGGGTCAGCCAAGTCTACAGAACGAGTTCCAGGACAGTCAGGGATACACAGAGAAACACTGTCTTGGAAATGGGGAAAAAAAAATTACAGTTTTATGTGTATGTGTGTTTTGCCCGCATGCTTATCTGTGCACTACATGTGTGCCTAGTGCCCGAGGGACCAGCAGCAGGTGTCAAATCCCCTGGAACTGGAGTTACAGACAGTTGTGAGCCGCCATGTCGGTGCTGGGAACAGAACCCAGGTCCTCTGCGAGAGCAGAAAGTGCTCTTAAGTGCTGAGCCATCTCTCCAGCCTCCCAAATCAGCATTTTAAGAGCACATATCCTCTTAAAAACTGAAAAAGCATAAGAAATGGTGGCATACACCTGTAACTAAAGCTACTGAGGAGGCTCAGGAAAGAACATTACAAATTCAAGGCTAGTCTAGATGACTTAATGAGATCATGTCAATAAAGAAGTAAACAAGCCAACAGGAGGTATGTGTGGCTCAGAAGGAGACGACTTGCTTCGCTTGGCAATTCACAGTATCAAAATATTCATGGTACCAGAAATGAATTTAAAAAGGAAAATACATGTTATATTTAAGACTCAAGTGAGAACAGTAATGAAACTCCAGTTAATAATTTAATTTTTTTCTAACTTTGTCTAGATAAAAGACAGGTATGAGATGTTGTACTATTCTCTTTCTATAGTCAAAAGGAATGGATGGCACTGATCTACCTTGGAAATCTTTAAAATAAACTACTAATAAGCCATCCCAAAAGTCCAAAGCAGAACAAATTCCCTTCTACTCTGGCATAGATCTGTATACCGTTTCCAAGACTACAGGTCTAGTCTTCAACTGACATCAAACCTCTGCAGAGCCCCAGTCATGTACTAGGAGAAAGGAGATGTTAGGCAGGACCTCCACAATGGGGATCCAGAGTCCGCCAACGCCGGAGAAGGCTTGTAATGGAAATGTATACGGGAATCCTTACTGCTTTGTAGTGAGACGTCTATGCTTAGATGTTGATGAAATGAGAATAATGACAACACAGAATTCTCTTAACTACATGAATTCCAACAGTGTGTGGGAGGGGGGGGGGATGTAAGTATGAAAAACAAATAGTACATCAAGTTTTTTTTAAACTATATTACTATTTACTCCTCTCAGCAATGGTATAATACAGGAGAAACCTATGAGTTAAAAATACAAACATGGGGACTGGAGAGATGACTTAGAGGTTAAGAGCACTCACTGACTGCCCCTCCAGAGGTCCTGAGTTCAATTCCTAACAACCACATGGTGGCTCACAACCATTTATAATGAGATCTGGTGCCCTCTTCTGGCCTGCAGGCATATATGAAGGCAGAACACTGTATACGTAATAAATAAATCTTTTTTAAAAATACAAACAAAAAAGCATGAAAAGAATGCTCTCACGTTCAGCAAGTTTTCCGTTTCACCTTGGGTACTTACTGTCTGAGCAGCTGCCGTCCTTGTTTCCACATTAACTGGCTGTTTTGCTGTGGCTGCACCTCTGTTTCATTGCCTTCATCTGGAGATGTTAAAGCACAATGAAATTGACTTATTGAACGTTTAGGCAACCCAACAATTCATAAACAGTGTCTAATAAACACTATAAGGTTAAGAATATGAAAACTGTAACTTTTTTTTATGTTTTAGGGCAATAGGAATTGTTTTTTAACTCAAATTTTAGTAATAAAACTCTGTATGATTAAGTATCTCTACTGGATTCCCTTTAGAGCAACAGAATTAAGAATAAAGACATTTTTTCTTTCATTTTTCACTAGCCTGAGAATTTTCCTCCAGGACAAAGACCTATCAAATCAAGTTACACAGTGAGAAGAAAATAAAAATATTGTAAAACCTAGAAATGGTAGTAAAAGTAAAACAAACAAAAACCCCAGTTTGATACGAATATGTAAAGAAATTATCTCAGAGCCAGGTGGTGGTGGCACACACTTTTAGTTCCAGTACTTGGGAGGCAAGGAAAGAGGATCTCTGTGAGTTCAAGGCCAGCCTGATCTACAGAGTGAGTTCCAGGACAGCCAGGACTACACAGAGAAATGCTGTCTCAAAAAGACAAAACCAAACCAACCAAACAAACGAACGAATGAACAAAAGAAAGAAATTATCTCAACTGGGGACATGATGTGGTTCAGTTAGTAAAATACTGACCAGGCATGCTTAAAGCCGTGGGTTCTATCCCATGCACTGCATGAAACCAGGCAAGGTGGCGTAAGTGTGTAAGCCACTTCCAAGGTGGAGACAGGAAAATCAAAAGCTGAAGATCAGCCTGGGCTCTCACTCTCTTAATAGCTAAGCCATCTATCCAGCCCCAATAAAGCTCTTTTATGCACAGCAACTAGACCTTTGTACTACTAAACAGCTCTGTAAATTTTATGGGGGAGGGGAATAAAATAATTGAAGTGTACACACACACACACACACACACACACACACACACACACACGGAATGAAATGAAATGAAAAAACAATGTACCAAAACCTCTGGGATAAAATGAAAGTAAACCTAAGATGGAAACTTACAGCTTTAAGTACCTAGAAATAAGAACAGAAAGAAGGCCTGGAGAGGTGGCTCAGGAGTTAAGAGCATGTACTGCTCTTGCAGAGGATCCTGAGTTCAGTTCTCAGCAGCCACATCAGATGGCTCACAACCACCGGGACCTCCAGCCACAGGGGAGCCACTGCCCTCTTCTGGCCTCTAGAGAAACCTACACTCATGTTCACATGCACATGTCCATATGTCATACACAATTTAAAATGAAAAATAAAAAGAGTTAAGAACTCAAATAAGTGCCTTATAAATGCTCCTCAGTGGTTTAAAAAGGCAAGGAAAAAAAAACCCAAAAGGTAGGTGGAAAGAAATGATCAAAACCAGAGCAGAAATAACTGAGATGAAAGACTACAGAGAATGAATGGAGCAATGAGTTAATGCCTTGAAAGATTAGCAGGATGGACAAACCCTGAGATGAATTAACTAAAAGACACAGAAAACTCAAACTAATAAAACTAGAGGTCAATTGAAAGACAACAGATATCAAAGAACCTGGGAGGATCTTAAGAACATTATTTATAATATTCTGGAATGTACATGTAAGACTATTACATTTAAAACTCAATTTGAAAAGCTTCTCTACTGTACTCAAATGTGGAGAAATGGGAAGAATAAGAATTTCTGGGTCAGATAAGTCTGAATTCAATTCCATGTCCCACATCATTTAATGACTGGTTAACCTCAAGCAAAGTTTTCCAACTTCCTGAGTTTAAGTTTTGCATAGATAAAATGAGAATAACAGTATCTTTTTTAAATGATTATTTCAAGAATTAAAGTTAATGAAGCCCTTACAATTATGGGTAGGCATTTTAATAAATGATATGAATGATTATAAATACTTTCACTACTTGAATAAGAGTTAAATCTGAAATATGACAAAAATTAAGTGTGGTAATAGCTTGGGTCCAATTTTCCTCACTCTTCTTTTACACCTGCTAATGAACATACCCTGTCTCTGTAAGTAAGAAACAGAAACCTGACCTAAGAGGTCGAGTTTGTTTGCTTTTTGTTTGTTGGCAGTACTGAACTTAGGGCTCAATCCATGCTAGGTATGTGCTCTAGCCACTGAGCTGTGTCCCTGGCCCAGTGAGGCATCGAGGGTAAGGGATTCGCCAGTTCCCTTGTGCTCTGAGAAGAAACCTCGTATTCCCACAGTTCTGCTGGTTCACAGGATCTCAAGGACAGCGTGCACTGTGTTTTGCTCCAAAGCTTCAGTTATATGCAGGAAGACACAGTAAGAAGTGGGGTTGGTTCATGCTATCCCACCACGCCTGAACCTTGTGCTATATGTAGAACATAGGCAGAAAATGGTGAACTAAAACAGGGCGCAGATGAAGAAGAAGAAGAAAAAAAAAAATCTCTTGACACTAAATGATTAGTGCCCCCCAAAACAAGACAACAAAAAATAACATGCAAATATATACTAACTTACAGTTTCAAATGTTTCTACAAGATATTAGACATTAATTTTTTATTACATAAACTTCCTTTACAAGTGGCTTACCAGAATCATAGCTTGGAGGCTTCATGTCTCCCTGATTCAGTTCTGTTCCATATTTCAACTTGTGGTATTTGGCTCTAACAAAGAAATGAGAAAACACAAGCCATGTTAAAACACAGTTCGATAAGTTTTAAGATATGGAAGAGAAGTTTTAAGTGTGTAACAGTCCTGGCTAAACATGCCTAGAACTTTCAAAGGCTCTAAAATTTCCATGATGTCAAAGTCGTAACAAAAAAATACTTACCTTTTTTGTTGTTCAATCACCAACTGTCATTATAATAAAACAAACAAACAAACAAACAAACAAACACTAGAAACTTTTTTTTCATTTTATATCTAGAATGAACCATATAAATTCTAGTTTGTTATATTCAAATTTTCTTGATACCTTTAAGCTGAATTAGATCAAAGAATAAAAGAGATCTTCACTGTACAATTTAATTTGTTAAGATTAGCCTTTCTCAATACTTAAGTTTATCTTAAAAAGAAACACTACCTATATTGCTCTGTGCCGTACTGGGTATTTACAATTCACTAGATACTCTTATGGTGAGCCATCAAAGCATGACAAAAACCCTGATGAAATCCCCTTTGTGCAATGAGATATTCTAGCAGTAGTGGTTAAATATTTTCCTTAGTCAGCATATACTTTGTCTTTAGTCAGAAAAAACAAAAAACATGATTAGGAAGACTGTCTAATTTCTTTTTAAAATTAGCACAGTATTATTATTTTGAGCTAACTGGACTAGTCATCTAATTTTATCATCTCAGATCTAGGCAAATGAAACAAGAAAAATGATCCAGATAAGGGAAAAATATTTAAAGACTAACTTTAAAAAATACATACGATTAATATATTTGTATATTTTAACTCTTTTTCTCTACAAAATGAAGTTTTTTGTAAGTAAATATTCAACGAGTTAAGCTAGACAACAATTAAAATATACAAATAAAACAGTAATTTTTAAAACCAAAGTAAGAATGAAGGAAAAGGCAACATAGTCAAATAGAAAGTGTTTCGTACTTATTTTAAAAAAAAAAATTATGTGAGGGTATGTGGGGGGGGGGGGGGGGATGCTCTGGATAGATGGCTCATCAGTTAAGAGCACTGGTTACTCTTCCTGAGATACAGCTCACAATTATCTGTAACCTTAGCTCCAAGGATCCGAAAACCTCCTCTGCACCAGGCACATACATGGTGCACATGCACGCACACGCACACGCACACGCACACACACACACATACAGGCAAAAACACACACACACAAAATAAAGTTAAATTTTTATTAAAAAAATGGATGGAACACTTATCATAAAGTTTTATATAATTTAAAATTAGACAGAGAAAATTATTGACTTCAATATATGTTACCAAAATCCTTCATTTTTTTTAAATAATCATTTTGTAGTCACAGAGAAAAACTGTTTTTATATAGAGGGGAGTCCTAAGACAATTTACAGATTACAGGCACCAAATTATCTAGAACATGCTTCTCCATATTCCTAATGTGTCTTTTAACACGATGATTTCATCACTGGACTAAACATTTCCAAATCTATTTCCATATACTTGGAATAGAACTGACAATCAGAAGGGAAGCTGTGGAGACATTAGCTTGACTTACAGTTGTAAGAAAGCAAACAGATTCTTTTTTTTTTTTTTT